TTTATAAAATATAAATAAATATAAAATGTTTTAATATCAGATTCAAAATCGTTTTCAAACATAGATAGAATTTAATTGCATAATATAATATATCACTTTTTAAGAAATTGATCAAACTTTTGACTTATTGCTATATGATTAAAGATATTTTTGCTGAAAAAAAAAACCAGTTTTTTATATAATATTTAATATTGCAGTTTTTATTTAAGCATTTATTTAGCAAAAAATAAGAACAAAAATGATGCACATGTTTATATAAAACAAAATTTTTTCTAAAAATTTACTAATATGTATATTAAATAAATATATAATTTACTAATATATATATATATATTATATAAACACCTTATAATGCAATCATATAATGTATTTAAACTTTGTTTGACATTTTTAAAAGGCAGAATGTCCCAGAATCATTGAATATCTTTGTGACTGCTTCTTTTATGGCAAATTCGGAAACAAGTAGAAGACACACATTTAAAATTAACTAAATGATAAGATTTTGTCTTCTATTTTATATCCAAAGCTTAATTTATTGAAAATTTGTTAAAATGTAAAAATGATAAATGTCTTTATATTTTATTAAATAAGAACTAATTCCAAGAAGACGAAAGAATTTAAATAAGGATTTGCTCTGTGTAAACATATACTTATGTAATAAGCATTAAAAATTTGTGACAAAGACATCTTTTTTAAAAATACTGTGTCTTACATTAGAACTGCTATCATTTAATTATTTCATGCTAATTCAAAATTTTAATCAAATTGTTATAATGTTATTAAAAAACAGAATATTGCACTATTTGGATATCTGGTGATATCACCCAGCCATTTTTAGCAAATTTGATTATTCTCTAATTAGAGTCAAAAGTGGATAGAATATACATATATTTAGATTCATTCATTAGATAGATAAGAAGAAATGATATAACATTACCTGTGCAGCTGGTTCGGTTCGAGATGGTGTAGGAATTTCTGATAGAAAATTCTGCAAGTCACTAAGCTGTATTCTATTGTTTGAACTTGCTGTTGTTGTGGCCGGAGTGGACGGAGCTGGTGTTCGCGCTGACAATTTATTATTATCTAGATAATATATTATCAAAATATGCTGTTGTAATTGATTAAATAATTTGACTCACTCGAAGATTTAGAGTCTGTATTAGGTCCAGGAGTTAACGAATGGGGTGGTCTGGCTACATTAGTAGTGGCCGGAGTAGACGAAGTTGTGGTGGAAGCTCTTGTACTTTGAACACTATGTGGTCTATTCATTGTACCTAATAAGCTACCTAGACCACCGATCTGGCCAACACCACCAAACAATTGTATAAGCTGTTGTTGCGACATGTTATTCAACAAATTCTGAAGATCTCCTTCTGCATTAGCACCGCCACTTCTTTGGGACCCTGGTGTCGGCGGATTATTAAGTACATCATTAATCTTTCTGCAGTGCTCTTCATCCTTATCAGTTTTAAGATCCTGCGAAAAGAAAACATGAGCATTTTCAACTATAAATTTCTATTAAATAGAGTATACACTAATATAAAATTATATTCTTACCTGTAACCAAAAGAAGAACTTCTTACTCGACGACTTGAATCGTAAAAGATATACTCTGCCAGTTTTACACTGAGGAACGTGTTTAAATTCGCAATCGTCAGGGAAGATAATTAAATCCTGAAAAAAACATTTATATAGACATATACATATAATATTTATATCATAGATATATGCATATATTTATATTGTATATTTAATACAAATGACAAATCAATATACTGTAATGTACAATTAAGAATAAAGCAATTTTTAGAGTGTGAGAACTAAAAAGCGTACGGCAAATTGGTCAAATTTTTAGAGATCCTTTAAAGAACAAGAATTATCATCATACATCTTCAACCACTCCGGTGGTGCGATCCTTCCAGCAGAAATGCATTAACGAATCATCGGATTGATAGACGTAAAGCTGACCCTTTCGCGTGTCCGGATAAACCATCTTTCCTTTCACGGTCATCTTGCCAGCCTTAAATTCGACTAGATTTTTTGAGGCGCCACGCGACGCGTTATTACCGAAAAGTGCTCCGCTGGACATTTTTGCTGATATATATATATAAAAATTGCTTTTTGACACGAACAAGATCAAACGACTAATTCACCACCTTACTTATGAGACGCGCCGATGACACTGCACTTTAAAATGGCGGTGCGAGAAGCAGAGCAGACTCTATGGCATAAGAAAAAAAGAGAAAGAAGATAAATTAAAGAAAGGAAGCGCGAGAGAGAAGAAAAGACAAGACTTCAACTACTAGCGCCACAACGTATATTTTATTTTCTTTTTTTCTCTTCTATATCCGATTTTATATTTTGAAATATATCCATTCGAATGCAAATACAACATTCGAAATATATTTCAAACGTAACAGGAGAGCATGAAAACTGGACATAATTTGTACTCGGACCAATCAGAATAATTATGAATAAAACACTATGAGAATTTTCCAGCAAGAAACACACATCAACACAATTGGCTATGAAATAGAAACATTTTCGGGACATTAAAAATTCTCTATTCAATAGCCAATTGCGTGACATCGTGTTCCTACATTATGTTTTCACCATGTTTTTTTGCTAGAGAGATCCCTTTATAAGCTGTGTTCCGGTTCACCACCCGGGTGCACCCGATATTATAGTATACGTGACATATACTATAATATCGGGTGCACCCGGGTGGGGAATCGGAACACAGCAATATTCGCGATATTTTCTATGGTTGCAATAAACTCTGTTGGACTTGGACGCGTATTTATATGAAACAAACTACATAACGTTGTGCACGTGTGCACATATTAATTTTATTTATTAATCGTGTTCCTTTAAGTGTTGCATTGTCGATATAAAACGAGAATACAGAATATTATTATTAGTGTTTTTATCGAATTATAGATGATTTATTATGATTGTATGTTTAATTGAAATCATTTAAAATTTGTATATTGCCGGCTTTCATCTCCTGTAAGGTTATTTGAAATAACGTGCAAGAAAAAAAAAGGAATACAATTGGAATCATATTTATCACATAAATCAACTGTATTTCAGAAAAGGAAATATATATTTAATTATATATTGCAATGACAAATCAAAGACCAGTTTCCTGTGGATTGGATTTCTGCTATGCTGCAAATTTAAATGAATGTCTAGCTTATGCAAACGATTCAAAGTAAGCCATCATTAATTTTATATATTTTATTCATCGAGTTTTCAGTATATCTATTTCATGTTATGCTACATTTGTATTTTGCTTCATGCTTTCAGATATGACTTTATATGCATTCCTTTGGTTCATCCTTTATTCAATAGAGAATTTATTTCTGGTCCTGCCAAGGATCGTCCAGGACCATTTACCAGGCCTGATTTAATTTTATGTAGTTCAGGTATATAAATTATAAATATAACCTTATATCTCTATATTAATTATATATATCAATATTATTAATACTTAAAATATAAATAAATCAAAAGTGTATATATGCAATCCACAATTTTATTTTGCAGATTGGAATAATTTAATAATTGGCAAATTTTCGCCGTTTATCAATGTGGATTCAACCAATCCAATTATTAGAAAAAATAGTGAAGAAACCTTGAATCAAGAATTAAGTTTAGTTAGCCATTTTGGTTTATCAGGAGCAACTTTAAAGTTAAAACATGGGATAAATAAAAATGTGAATCTTGCAAGAATTATTTCTGACAAAATATCAAATAACAATACTAATTTTCAGGTAACAACTTTTATTTTAATTACTTTCAAAAATTGTTTCATTCATGAGAGAAAAAGAGATAATATACTTTTATAAATAAATATCTTAGAATAAATGTGTTTAATGTGTTATCTTATATGAATTAAAAAGAGAAGAAAATATGCTTATCAAGTATACAGAGCCTTCATTCTTTTATTTATCTCAAGTCATAAAATAAGGATAGTGTGCAATTTAAAATAATTAAAATATTCTATTAATATAGATATGGATACAAGTTCCTATGGAAAATCCAATTAGACAAGCCTATTCTTATAGGACAGAGGATTGTCCAGCAGACGAGAATCCATGGGAATGGTGGAATGCATTTAGAACAATATGTGACTATAATAAAAGATTAGGAGTTGCGTTAATTGTTAGTCATGACGTGCCTGAAATGGAAGAGGTAAACTTTTTAAAAATTAAAATTATTCAATATAAATATCAATATGCAATGCATCAATAAAATTACTCTAAACTTAAATACCAGATAGATAAATGGCTTGGAGAACCAGTGAGATGCTTGATTTTACCGACGACGATATTTCTAACTAATAAAAAAGGATATCCGGTACTAAGTAAAGCACATCAAGCGATAGTAAAAAGATTCGCTGCATTAGAAGTGCAATTCGTTTTGACGGGCGCAACGCGTTATCAAAGTATTAGCTATTATCATAACTATCTTGATTATCTATGGAAGGTAAAGCTGTAAGAAAATTGCAAACAGTTATATCAGAAGATTAATACTTTATTTTGTAGAATATAGGAAATAATGTTTTCATTCCTTTAGGGATGCCAGAGTGATGGAACAATAGAAAAATTTGCTCGAGGATACGAAGATTATTTGCAATGTCCGTTACAACCTTTAATGGATAATCTCGAATCACAAACTTATGAAATATTTGAAAAGGATCCTGTGAAATATCGAGAATACCAGAGCGCTACATATGAAGCTATCAAAGCAATCGTATCCAAGATTAAGGAGGAAGAAAGAAAAATGTAAGGTAGAACATGTAATAATGTGATATCTGTAAAGAAATATAATTGAAAATTTTTAGAGTCATTATGGTAGTTGGTGCTGGAAGAGGACCACTTGTAACCGCATCTCTAAATGCTGCAGAAATGGCCTATCAGGAAGTGAAAGTATATGCAGTAGAGAAGAATCCGAATGCTGTGATAACGTGAGAATTTTTTAAAATAAAGATTTTATGTCCACACAGATATTGTATGTGTATGTGTATACACATACATGTAATATCTAGATATCATGTGTGTGTGTGTGTGTGTGTGTGTGTGTGTGTGTGTATTATATATATAAAAGTATATATTGTTTCATATTATCTACATTTATAGATTACAGGCTCTTCAGAGAGATATATGGAAAAACAAGGTTACAGTAGTATCATGTGACATGAGGGACTGGAATCCTCCCGAAAAAGCTGATATTATTGTTTCCGAATTACTCGGGTCCTTTGGTGATAACGAATTATCTCCAGAATGCTTAGATAATGTCATGAAATTCCTACAAGGTTTGTATTGCATACTGTATTATATAAATTGCGTGTATTATAACTAATATAAAAATTTGTAATTATTTACTTTTTTGGTTTATAAATTTGATAGATGATGGAATCAACATACCACAATCATACACTTCATATATTGCCCCTATGCATTCCTCTAAACTGTACAATGAAGTAAGACAACTTAGAGATAAAGATAAACATCCATTAGCTCATTTTGAAACTCCATACGTGGTGCATCTTCAAAATAAATATGACATAGCAAATCCAAAGCCACTTTTTACATTCAAACATCCAAACACAGGTTTGTATAAATATAAAACATCCATCACACAAATTTGTCTGCATTTTAATAATTTTAATCTTTTTATTTGTAATTATTTAGATGTTATTACTGATAATTCGAGATATGAAACAAAAACTTTTCAAGTGGAACAGAATTGCGTGTTACATGGATTTTCAGGATACTTCACAGCAATTCTATATGAAAATATCACATTGAGCATAGAACCTAGCACATATAGCCCAGATATGTTTAGCTGGTTCCCAATCTTCTTTCCAATTAAGGTATACATAAAGTGATGTAATATATAAATCCTGATAGATATGAAGATAAAAATATTTATTGATGCAGGAACCAATACAATTGAAAGCAGGAGACGAAATAGTGGTTCACTTTTGGCGCAGATGTGATTCTAAAAAGGTGTGGTATGAGTGGTGTCTTAGCAAACCTATTCCAGTCTCGATTCACAATTCAACTGGTCGTTCTTCCACTATTGGATTATAATGTAATAATTCTGATTTTTCTTTGTTTAAGAATTTCTTGTCAACATACGTTGACATAGTTTATTAAATGTCGATTGTGTAACTAAATCTTTATAGAGAATTATAACATTTTATAATAATTACATAATTAAATATTTCTAGCGAATCTAGGCAACATTACATATATTAATGTAATATTTTTGCATTAGTTTAATTTATGACTTGTAAGATTGCCTAGTTCTTAATATCATGACAAGAATTCAATTTGATAATAGAACTTGATGTAAAATTAATATGAATATTTCTATTTATGTGTGGTTGATGCAGAAAAGTACTACTTCCAAAAGGTTTATTACTTTATATTACTTTGAAAAAATTATATGTACTCAAACATAAAATTTTTTCATCACCTGGTATAGGTTCACCATCGAGTGATAATTATTGATACTGTAAAACGATAAAAAGATTACAGGAATATATATATATATATATATAGGCATAAAAGATACTTAAGTAGTCGATGTGTGAAAGAGATACATGAATGCTATTTTACTGTAGACATTTTTTTATATATTGATAAGTTTATATGACACCGATCTCAGAGGTCAATGATATGCTAGAACTTTGATAACTTGTATGACGAGATATTCTCAACACGTGACTGTCTTATTAACTATCTCATAAATTCACGTGATGTACAGTTCAAGTAACATTGTGTAAATTTCATATGAATACATTGTAAGTAGCATTATCAAATCTTATACTCATATGACAATGATTTTAAATGTACGTATGTACATTTAATATTTATAATAAATTTCTACTTTCTTGACACATCAGCAAATTCTTTTTTTGTATAAATTCTTTTAATCTATCAAAAAGAAAAAAAAAATATTACAATCCTGTTGGATTATGTGTATAGAAACATGAGAAATTCTTTTTATAGATTTTGTTAAAAAAGTTGCGACACAATTTATGTCAACAAAATCTGAAAATATTATTCTTAACAATCTGACGAATAACATTCAAATGCGAATATTTAATTGCTGAGAATGCTGACTATGATAATCGAAATATAAAACTAGTTCAATAGCTCAAAGGTTGGAGATCATATGCTGGAGGATCACGATGTTGGAATTATACTCTTACGATTATTTAGACGGAACAATACAAATCACTATTTGAAGAGGGTGTACTCTCTATAAGGGTGGAAAAAAGTGGTCAATATTATTAGCGAATCTTTCATACGTTATTATACGGATATATATTTATATGTGTTTATCGGTCTCGTGTTGGCTCGTTTAGATATTTAAATATTTAGATTACACACATTTCTCCGAGACGAGATAAGAGAGCCAATGACGACAGAAGCAGCCGAGCAGCGGATCGTCCGAGTTTCCTCTCTCATTATTCGACCTGATTCGGCCAGCGATCGTTGTTTTACTCGCGGAAAGGGTTGAAACAAGAGGGTTAGATCGTGCACGGATCACGCACGATTGCGATACAGGGAGCTAAAAATGGCACGATTGATGGTACAAATCGGCCGGTGCGCAATGAAAACGTTTGTCTCACAAGGCGGGAACGATTTATTCGGCAGAACCGCGCAATCGAGAACATCTCTCGCCGCATTACGTTCCATAACCACAACTCGATGCTTGAGAGCTGGTAAGTGTGCGAGAATAGCGAATCAATGTGCCCGACTTTAGTCTTTTTGAAGAGCGCAGATAATAACTGGAAAAAAAAAATATATA